GGCTTTCCCCAAAACTGCTTATTCAGCGTTGGCACCAAGTACCAAGGGCTGATACCGCTCTTAGTAGCTTAACAAGATAAACAACCACTCTCCTAAAAGGGCTATCCTCCCATCTATATGACCATGGTATGGAGTAATGAATACTCTACCATTTGGGAATTAAGCATCCATCAAACTTAACTTGGTTGCCAAGTCCCAACAATAGAAATTGCAAATGGAGAAATTCCACCAAGACCACAAACAGCAAGCCAACAAAATAAGATGAAGTCATTGATTGTTTATTGCAATATCAAAGCCTTAAACTATATGGCTATATCCTAAGAACTTGCCTCTAACTCTGTAAGAGCTTTACTTTAAAAACGTAGGGTCTCTCACCATTTATAATACTCTCTCCATTTGCTTTTATTTGCCTTCTTGGATTAAGCCACTTTTAAAATTTTTGATTGAAATAATATAATTAGGGGTCGTTTGGTTCGCTGTAATAAATAAAGGGAATAGGATTCTATGGGAATCATTCCCTTTGTTAGTGTTTGGTTTTCCATTTCAATCATTCCCTTTCCCCTTTGATTACCCAAAAACCTTCTACTCCCATTCCCCACCCCCCTTACCTTTTCTATTCCCTTTCCCAGCCACCAACATACCCACCATACCTTTTCCATGTCGGAACTCGCCACCCCTCACCGGACCACCGCCTCCCTTCACCGGACCACTACCGCCAGCGAAAACTGACCGCGAAACCTTAGCGAAAGGCCGACAACCACGGGCGAAACCGGCAGTTTTCGAAGGCCAAGATCCGGTGAATTCGCAGGCCAACATCCGGAATCTATGGTCGCCTCTCCTTTCGTCGCCCCTCCTCTCACCGAAGGCCAAGATCTGACAGTTTTGGGCGGAAGAAACCAGCAGTTTTTGAAGGCCAAGATCCGGCGAATTCGTAGGCTAAGCTCCATCGAAATCGCAGGCCAAGATCCGAAATCTATGGTCGCCCCTCCTCTCACCGAAATCCACCAGAAATCTGGTTGCGTGGGTGTGGTGGTGGTGGTGATGGTGAATCCAGTGATTCCCATTGTTTTTATTACACGAAACAACATACTACATTTGAGGGATTTTCATTGCATTCCATTTCATTCCCTTTGTTCATTCCATTCCATTTACCCCATGCAAACCAAACGACCCCTTAGAAAGAAAACCGATGAGATCAATGTAGCTCTTGTGAGATTTTACAAGAAAAAAGTGTATCCATTGTAATTTAATTTCTCCATTCCGTTATGTTTGTTACACTTTGAACATTTATTTTTTACAGAAATATTCCAAACACAATCAATAATAAGGAGCCAGAGATAATAGCTTTTAGGATTTGGCTTTTACCCCTTTCACATTTTTTGCCTTTTCACCCTTGCTTTTCATCATATAAGAGTACTTCCTTTGTTTTCTTTTATTTACAACACAGCCTTCGACAACTGTAGACACCTAATTGTATCTCCCCAAACACCAAACCCAATGATGACTGCCTTTAACGTTTTGATTGACGAGTTTGGCAAAGAGTTGAAAGGTCACGCAAAGTTTCCTTAAGCCTAGAACATCTTTCTAACCTTACCCAAAGTGTTTTTAATCCAAGAACATTCATTTCGTGTCCTTAAATCCAAAAACATTCATTTCGTGTCCTTAAAACATTCATTTCGTGCCCAAATTATAAAAAGGTACAATATGATTGTTTTGGTCTATTTTCTCATTCCAATTATTGTTTAGTTGGATGGGGCTTAAAAATAGCTTTCCAACGATATATTATAAACCCAAATCTGACTTAAAACGAATAAGATATGACCAAAATACTAAACCGAGCATAAACCGAGCCTAGGCCCACCTTTAGTACGACCCAATGATTATTTGGAGTTCAAATATTTTATTAAAGCCCCATATGATCATATTCCTAATCCCAAGCCAGCTAGAAACTTCTAGAATATTCTACAAAGTTCTAATATATCCTTCCCGAAAAGTTAAAGATCAAGAGTTCAAGATTAAATAGAACTCTTATGAGAATCCTTAATTTTTAAAAAGACGTGCGGATATATTTTGCATAGATAACCCAGCAGAAACCAAATCTCGTACCAAAATTTGCTATCTTATGAACAATCACTCAACGACAGGTTCATTGCGCCGTGATAACCCTGTGACGACGCGACAAGAAGTTTTATCACAGTTCAGAATTCTGATCTTTTTCCAATTGTTAGACTCTCTTTTTTCCTTATAAATATAGGTTGTTTTCCCCGATTCGAGTTCATCAACCCAACCAAAAAAAAAATAACAACAATCATCAATAACCCACAACAAGAATTCAAGAGAATTCCTAAACCCATGTCCTTAGCCTAAATCCTAGATATATCCCCATCATTCACCATACTTCCTTCGCGTGATTCAAATGCTCCAAACCATATTCGACGTTGTCTTCGACCTCGACGTGAAAGGTTGATATTTCTGAGGGTTTGGACCCAAATCTATATTTCTATTCCTATTTAATTTAGTTTATTATTTAGTTTATTGATTTTTTTTTTCTTGAAGTTTACTAATGTGTGTATTGTCTTAATAGCAAGAAAGTCGAAGCATCAAAGTGAGTAATTTAATTACTTTTTGGAATAGAAATCGTGTTTTGGATAACGCTTTGATTTTGCTATTAGTAACATGCTAAAATTGTTATTAATCTGTTTAGTATCATGCCTGAGATCTTACTACTAACGATGTTTTCGTGATGATGCTTATGATGATAATTATACGTTGCTTGATTACCAATGATTCGTTGCTTGATCACACCCCTAAGGGAATCTGTAATTGAAATCATGCGTAATAAGATAATTAATAATTGGATTTAGGTTTAATATTATTTTAATTCAAGTGATCACCAATATTAGATTAATTGTCCATTAATGATCAACCAACATAGATTATAAAAGTTTAGGATTAATTTAATGTATGACTGTTGATCGAAAAGCGCGCATGAATATCAATAAGAATCAAGTAGAGACTTATTTCGAGCGGGTTTGACTTCTTTTAAGAGGAAAATTCGTACCATCATCCCTAAACATCCAGACATGATTCCGAACCACTATGGAGTTAGCAATCTCTTTGATTGTGAATGGGGTGTAACCTTCACAATCGTGAACAGTTTACAAGTTCCTAAAACTTGTTGGCGACTCTTTTTCTCTAGCTTATTTTTTCTAGGATCCCCGGCATACCTAAAAACATGACTCACATGTAGGGCGGAGGAAAAATTCCCTACAGTTTTTGGCGGCTCTACTAGGGAGGATTTCTAATTGATTCCTAATTTGTTTGGAAATTAATTAGAATGAGTGAATGAGACTTGAAAGATTCTTGATGTTCATGCACGTAATTTTGATTAACATTGTGACATAAGAATAAAAAGGTACGCATTGGAAAGATCATCCGTAGTCCGTAAAAGCATAGGAATACACGTAGAAAAGGCCAGAAATGTTTTTCACAACTAAAATCGAAAAGACGCTATGAAAATTGCAAAAAATATCGAAGGTTGAATTTTCTGTAGAGCGCCAGATCTGTCGCATGGCAACAGTGACCAACGTCGGACGACCTCTTTGTCGCTTAGCAACAGAGTTGTCGCCAGACGATGGTTCCTGCCGTCCAGCGACAGAATCTAACGATTCTGCGCTAGTCTTCTCTCTTCGCGTTTTGTCTGGTTCTAGTACTTTCTCGACGATTTTTACTTCCTGATTAAGTTTTTTGGACCTTTATAAACCCATATGTGTTTACATATGGTTTTATCCCTTGGGAATTCATGCTCCGTCAACCCTAATAAACGCTCCGTGCAATAAAGGGTTTATCCGAGTTTATTGAATTCACAAAACCATGGAGTTAAGTTTAACTCGCGGGGTCCCGTCCATCGCACCAACCCTTCTAAGGTAAAGCTTCTGTGTGATGCATTCGGACTCTTAACCATGGACCCTCTTGGACACAAAAATCCTTGACCTTAGAGAACAAGAGCCATGGTTAGGTGGAAAACTCATTGCATTGTTGTGACTACTTGGCTACTTGTGCATAGCTTGTATGTGTTTAAACTAACCCTTTGTTTTGACTTGTTTCTTGTACATATGACTATACATTCTAAACCAAAGCTAAAAGGACCTTGATTAATTAATTTGGTTAATTAAAATGAACCCATAAAGTCTAACCATGCTCGACCTAGAAGACTTTAGGCCTAAATCTTCGAAAGAATAACTAAAAACAGATCGTTGTGGTGCACCAATATTGGCGCGTCACTCCGGATTTTTGACGCCTGACAATGGTCATATATCATCGCGTCGCGACAAGCTTATCGCTTCGCGATGGAACCATCGTCATGCGATGGTTCAGCCCTTCTTTCAGCGTCTTCACATCGAGTCTAACTACCAGTTTTAACGTCTGTATATGGTCTTTCCCTGGTCTTGTATGAGTCTAACCACATGTCTAGTCACTTGGTTAAATCACGAGTCTTGTAAATATCACTTACACCCACAAGTCTTCATACACACCTTGTACATACTGTCTGCCATGACCATGTCTTAGATCCATGCACGAGTCATCTTTTTCTAATCATTTGAATTGAGGGTCTGTCTTATTCCCAGAAATATCCATGTTTTTCCACAAGTACATCCTTTCCCTTTACATAACTTTCCATACATTACATACCTTACCATAAATACATTTTCTTTCTTAAACACTTTCGACATTCACACACTTTTCCCTATACACATATACCTTCCTGCATACTTCCCTCGTACATGCTTTCCCTATACATATCATTCCCCTCATACACTATGCTCTTTCCTCATATGTGCATATTGAATCGAGTTCGAGTCATGTGATTGACAAGAAACGTCCATGGTTTCCTTTTCTACAGCGTTTGGTCAAGGAAAGAGGGTCGATTAGTTCGAGATAACTCGTACATTCAAGAGATCTTCTTCAAAAACAGGGTTCGAAGGAAGAAGAAACAACCAATGGCGGCCACTAAGGAAGACATTGAATCTCTCCAAAAATCCATGGACACTCTTTCCGAGCTTGTCAAGGGACTCTCCACTCGAGTGGAGAAAGTTGAAAATATCAATGAACAAGTTCTGCCTAAGACTATCAAGCGTATCCAAGAGAAGCTAAGCCAATTGTCCAATGATTATAAGTATCTTGATATGAGTACCAAGGGAATCTCATTGGATAAGAAACTTCTTCCGAACAAGTTCTCTACCATTGACATTCTAAGTTCAAGCCCACAAATAACCCTTACTTTCACTTGAGAGCTTTCGAAACAGTCATGGAAATGAAGAGGATTGACAAGCAACTCTTCCCTTCGATTTTCTCTTTTTCATTAGAACCGGTATGCCAACAATGCTTCTTTTTCGCGGACTCCAAGGAAAATGCTACTTGGGAGAATATTGTACCTACTTCCATCAAGAGATACAAGTGCAACGTACAAGTAGAGACTGATCACTAGGAACTCGAAATAATGAAGCAAAAGGACAACAAAAGCTTTACCGAATTCTATACTAGGTGGAAGGAAGCTTCTGCTAGGATGATTAAGGCCCTAGATGAAAAAGACTCTGTGTGAATGTTCATAAAAAAACCTTCAAGACAAGTATCAAAAGCACCTAAGGTTCTTGGGGTTGACTACTTTCAAGATAGTCTATGACATAGGTATTGACATTGAAGATGAGCTCTTGAAAGCTAGGGTTAGTAACAATGGAAACAATGGCAATAGCAGGAAGACCGACAATCCTTCTTCCTCTTCTTCCCATCAAAATATCAACTTCATTAATAATGTCGATGCCGATGAAATCTTGGCCCTTGACAAGGACACTTCAAAAACCAAGAAACCCAGAAGAGAATTCACACCTATTGGAATATCCTATAATGTCGCTTTCGATCGTCTTTACGATTGGGGCTTAATCAAGCCTATTGGTCCCACTGAAGATCCAGCACCAGAAAAGCGATCTTCAAGATGGAATCCCAACTCTTATTGCAAGTACCATCGAGGCAATGGTCATACCACGGATGAATGTTATAGGCTTCAAAACCTTATTCAAGATCTCATTGATGCAAATAACTTCCATTCCCTCCAGCTGGCAAGAAGACTGGGTAACAATGAGACAAGGCACAAGGCACCTCATTTTTTAGGATTTTCATGAATTTTCTTTCTTATTTTTGTGTTCCCCTTTCCCTTAATTAGTCTAGCATAGGCACCCTCCATCATTTTTTAGATTTACTTCATGTGTTTGTTTTTACCCTTTGCATTTCAATAAAATGAGCATTTATTCCTTGCATATGATCATCGCATTGCATTTCTATTTTTTTTTTCTTAAAAAAAAATAAATAATCCTCGTTGAGCACGAGGTATACCAATTATTTGAGGCACCCCTTGTAGCCATATTATATCACCTTTAACCTTTTAAGTACATGATCTTTTCTTGATAAACCACTTTGAGCCTCACGATAAACCTTCATTTTTTCAACCCATATCTACCTAAACCTTGGGATGGGACGGTGTGCAATTTATGCAATTTTAAAATCCAAGTACAATAGCTTGAGTGATTCAAAAACTAATACAAAAGGCCTGAGAAATTCCTAAAGCAAAAGCAATAAAAGTGTGCAAAAGGGCAAGTGTTACAATGTCTTTAATATGAACATGTCTCGGATAGTGTCTCTTATTGAGTGCTCGGCACCGTGCCTAAGAAACATGAATACCAAATGAGCGATAGACCGCATGATCGGGATTTCCCACACTTGTCCAAAGAAAATTCAAGAACAAATGCAAAAACAAAAAAAAGTTCAGAAGAGAGAAACCTCAAGCATACAAATACCAAGATTCAAATGCAAGGTTGCACACCTTGGGGGCTTATTTTGGGTCTTAAGCCTTTATTCCTTCTTCTTCAACCTTTAGCCTAACCCCGTTACAACCTTTAGAAGACCTCCTTGAGGTGTACACACACTTGTGTGAGGTTCGGCTAGAGTTACGTGCGGCCTGATTCCTAACGGATACGTAGGCAACCTTACATTGGGGTGCGACCGTAATAAAAATGCATTCACTCATATTCACATCATGATCATATGCTCATCCCCATCCATTTAGAGCTAGATTTGGGGGCTTTATCCCTACTTCATTAGCCTACCCAGCCTAAGAGTCACCATCATTTGGCTCTTCACAAAATATTTTTCCATACCCTTAGCCTTTGCAGCATAACCTTAGTGTCACTCTCACACACATCACAAATATGTTGCCAAATAATCCTTCAATCCCCTTAGGAACCCTTTATCATGAAATCCTGATACGACCTTGAAGCACACCATGTTATCTTAGAATCACTCATTATCATAATCATCATCACAAAGTATGAGGTACTTAGCCTCCGAGCCTAAGTTACCCAAATACTTTCATTATCGGATCATCAATTGAGATAGTCTAGGATGCTACAATCCTTGCATCATGAGATACAACAATTAATGCATACACTTAACTAAGCTCATTCAACATGCGTCATTACTCGATTCATTCTTTTGATCTTTTTTCCTTTTGGGAAAGTTCAAAAACTTCATTTTTCATCAACATTTTACCCCTTTTCATTTTTGCCTACCCTCATTCATTTTCACGTCTTTCTTTTCGGGAGAGAGTCGGTACCCTCCACAAAAATGACAAAATTTTTTTGCTGGTCTACATTAACAGGTTGCACGAGCACAATCACCACACAATGCACACGAGTCATGCACATTGAGTCATGTCATGTCACCACATCAAGTTGAGTCTGCACACACGAGTCATGCACTTTAAGTCATGACATGTCAAATCAAACCGAATCGATTTGAGCACATCAAGTTATACAATGAGTCAAGTTACACAATGAGTCATGTCTTGAGTCAACCAACTGTCAAGGTCCTTTGGCAAAATTTAATTTTTTGCAGGTCTCAGGTACATCACCTATGCGGCAATTTTTCTAAGATCAGATTGTCATGTATCATCTCCTCTAGCAATATTATCGAGAGTGGATTGTCACACAACTTATTCATCTGGCAATTTTTCTAAGATTGGATTGTCATTTATCGTCTTATGGCAATATTTCCAAGAGTGGATTGCCACGCATCTTCTTCATCTGGCAATTTTTCCAAGATTGGATTGTCATGTATCATCTCCTCTGGCAATATTTCCAAGAGTGGATTGTCACGCACTCACGCATCATCTTCATCTGGCAATTTTTCCAAGATTGGATTGTCATAAGTCATCTCCTTTGGCAATATTTCCAAGATTGGATTGTCATACATGTATCAAATCCCTTGGCAATTTTTTCTGAGATTGGATTGTCATTCACCGAGTTCACCATGGCAAAGTTTCCCAAAGAGGATTTTCATGGGTCGTTATTCAATTTAATATTTCGGAAAAGGCTCCCCGACGTGGATTGTCATTCATTTTAGTGGTGGAAAAATTTTCCCGAAGCGGGTTGTCGTTTGGCTCTTCCGACAAATGTTCCAAACGCGGATTGTCGATTGTGGCAATATTTTCCTAAATGAATTCTAACATAGCATTGACAAAATTTTCCGAAGTGGATTGTCTTTCGAGAGTTATGTTCCAAGGTGTAGATTGTCGATCGTAATAATATTTCCTATGATGGATTGTTACGCAGCATTGGCAACTTTTCCCGAATTGGATTTTGGCAATTTTACCGAGATGCGGATTGTCGTTTCAATCGTGGCAACATTTCCTATGGTGAATTACTACGTAGCATTGACAGTTTTCCCTAAATCGGATTGTCGTTCATTATTCAGAATTGTGTTGGCAACTGTTCCTAAAGTGGATTGTCATCACTAGCGCGTACCCGGCGATGTCAGTTCGCGTCTCTTTCGCTATAACTTCTTTATTTGTAGAACTGACTTTTTTGTAGGTATCGACGTTAAAAGAATGGTTTAGGATCGCAAAACATTCTAGATCATTCTCTGTCCCTTTCGGAATACTTTGACTATCATTTCGAAACTTACGTTTCTCCAAACTGAGTCAAAGTGGGGGCTTCTGTAGACACTTGATTGTGTCTCCCCAAACACCAAACCCAATGATGAGTGCCTTTCACGTTTTGATTGACGAGTTTAGCAAAGAGTTGAAAGGTCGCGCAAAGTTCTCTTAAGCCTAGACCATCTTTCTAACCTTACCCAAAGTGTTTTCAATCCAAAAACACTCATTTCGTGTCCTTAAATCCAAGAACATCCAATCTGATTATTTTGGTCAATTTTCCCATTCCAATTATTGTTTATATGGGTCTTGAAAAGAGCTTTCCAACGATATATTATAAGCCCAAATCCGACTTAAAACGAATAAGATATGGCCAAAATACTAAACCGAGCCTAGGCCCACCTTTAGTACGACCCAATGATTATATGGTGTCCAAATATATTATTTAGGCCCCATATGATCATAATCCTAATTCCAAGCCGGCTAGAAACTTCTAGAATCTTCTAGAAGGTTCTAATCTATTATTCTCGAAAAGATAAAGATCGAGAGTTTGAGATTAAATAGAACTCTTATCATAATCCTTAATTTTTCAGAAGACGTGCAGATATATTTTGCATACATAACCATCAAAAACCAAATTCCGTATGAAACTTTGCTATCTTATGAACCATTGCACAGCGACAAGTTCATCGCGCCGCGATAACCCTGTCGAGACGCGACAAGAAGTTTTATCACAGTTTAGATTTCTGATCTTTCTCCGATCGTTTGACTCTCTTTTTTCCTTATAAATAAAGGTCGATTTGAGATCATCAACATAATAAAAAAAAAACAATCATCAATAACCCACAACAAGAACTCGAGAGAGAATTCCTAAACCCATGTTCTTAGCCTAAACACATCCTAGATACATCCCCAACATTCACCATACTTCCTTCATGTGATTCGAATGCTCCAAACCATATTCGATGTTGTCTTTGATCTCGACGTGAAAGGTTGACATTTCTGAGGGTTTAGACCCAAATCTATATTTCTATTCCTATTTAATTTAGTTAATTATTCACATTATTGATTATTTTTTTCTGAAGTTTACTAATGTGTGTATTGTCTTAATAGCAAGAAAGTCGAAGCATCAAAGTGAGTAATTTAATTACTTTTTGGAATAGAAATCATGTTTTGGATAACGCTTTGATTTTGATATTAGTAACATGCTAAAATTGTTATTAATCTATTTAGTATCATGCCTGGGATCTTACTACTAACGATGTTTTCGTGATGATTCTTATGATGATAATTATACGTTGCTTGATTACCAATGACTCGTTGCTTGATCACGCCCCTAAGGGAATCTGTAGTTGAAATCACAGATAATAAGATAATTAATAATTGGATTTAGGTTTAACATGATTTTAATTCAAGTGATCACCAATATTAGATTTAATTGAGCATTACTAATCAACCAAAATATATTAAACAAGTTTAGGATTAATTTGATGTATGTATGTTAATCGAAAAGCGCGCATGAATATCAATAAGAATCAAGTAGAGACCTATTTAGGGCGGATTTGTCCTCTTATAAAAGTCAAGTTCGTACCATCATCCCGAACATCCAATCATGGTTCTGGACCACTATGGAGTTAGCAATCTCTGTGATTGTGAATGGGGTGTTACCTTCACAATCGTGAACGGTTTACAAGTTCCTAAAACTTGTTGGCGACTTTTTTTCTCTAGCTTCTTTTCCTAGGATTGCCGGCATGTCTAAAACATGACCCACTGTAGGGCGGAGGGAAAATTCCCTACAACAAGTTTTTTTAAATGTTGATTAGAGCAGGTGAACGAGCGAATTTATCAAAAAAAAAAAAAATAACACCAAGATTAGAGAAGGGATTGGTATTACGTGTATAAATTATTTTGATTAATTTGTCTGTTTACATTACTTAGGGCTTGTTTAGTTCACCTTATTTTTTCTTATCTGAACTTATCTGATCTGGTCTGATCCAATTTGAAGTTATCAGATCTGGTCTGATCCGATCTGATCTCATCTGGTCTGATGTGATTGTTTGATTTGACCAAACTTTGACCTTAAGTGTACGATAATGTATAAGGAAAAAATATATCAAGTGGGATCTTGTTAGATTTGTGATAATGTGTATTTTATTAATATGTAATTTTATAATTTTCTTCATTATGAAATTAAAG